ATTTTGAAAAAATGAAAGAGGTAATTATGTTTTGATATTGTTGAGAGAAAATGAAGCCATCAACAATATTTAAACTGACTTTTTTGACTGTTATGCTTTTTTTATGAATAATTGTTGAGTTGTTATACTGCTATGATATGAAATGTAAAATATTCTCAGGATCAATTTTTAATACATTTTTTTGGGGCCCCCCCCCCCCCGACGAACAGAATCAACTCTTACAGGACCAAATTCAATGCACAATCCCAACTCCTGATTGTAATACATTTTTGCTAAAGCAAGGAGAACTCAGGTAGCTCAAGCTACCTTTCGTGAGTTGTTCATGACTTATAAAGGACATTAAATAACTATGTATGCAATCCAATCAACAATCTAAGAAATCCCAATCAACACTTAGTACAAATGCGCAGGTGACCTGCGAACTGAAAAAGGCTCCCTCGCGTCTCGAAAGCATCTCTACTTGGCTGAGCTTCTCCCAAGTAGGGACTGCTGTGCGCTTGGGCATGCCGCTGCCATTCTTCCGTCATGCGCTGCCGGAAATCTTCCACCTGTGTAGGAAGGATCTCTTGATTCTGAATCTTCAGGTGTTCGGTGTTCGTGGATCGGACTGATGGTGCAACATTGCACGTCAGGCGCTGCTTGGCGCCACAAAGAAAAAAAACCGAGCCTGGTTGATCCACGAGGGATGAGCCTTCTTCATTTCCTCTTCTCCTTAGCCAACAGAGGTCAAGCTGGCTCTGACTGGGAAACCAGGCCGGTCAAGCTGGTCTTCTCTATGGGCTCTGCTGGCTTGGGACCTAGAAGACTGGGCATGATAATAACTTCGGCTGCCATCCTGACATATCGGACGGCTAGTGCGGCTTGAATACTTTATGAGCAAAAACGGTTTGCTCCAAAAGAAGGTACACCACAAACCACAAACTTGCAAAGGCCAAAAACGACTGGACTATCTTAGGGCCTGCAGGTCCCTAGTTCTGCTCTCTTGATCCATCTTCATTCGCCCAAATAAGGCCGCGCCACGTTCTCGTAGCCGTTGCTGGGCTTTCTGGGCCTCCTCACATCGATGCGGCTAATTCGACGCGCGGCTCCTTGCGACCCAAGTCTAGCCGCATAGACGGTGGCCGTCTCCATCTCAGTCAGTGAAAACCCCCCTTCAACGCATCGAACGATCTTTCAAAACATCGAACAAAATCTGGAAATCCACAGTTTCGCACTGCATCAGACCCTACCACTTGGTTTTTCAATCGGCCATCGACCCAAAGATCTACGGTCTCCCTCGCCTTCTTCCACGCATCCCGGTCTTCTCTCAGGCGCAACAGCTCAGCCCGAAGCTCCGCCTGGCCGCTCGGCGCGCGGACGCTCCGCTCCGCTCGGCGTCCGCTCGCCTGTCCGCCGAGTGGCGGTCAGGGGAACCCATGGGCCATGGGTCCTTTTTCTCTTGAAGTGCACCCAAACATCGATCAAAAGGATCTTTTTTGCCAAGCAGCCCTTCTCTCCCTGACCCTGCCTCGTGGGCGTGCGCTTCGTGCTTGGCCTGTCGCTTTCCGCAGGAAGGTAAGACACTTGTAAGAACTGTGCAAAGCCTGAAGCCACATGGACACACTGAGACACACTGAGACACCCCAGGTCCGGACTCTCCGAACCCACCGGAGCGGGTCCCGACCGCCCCCGACTTCCGCAGCACCAACGGCGGTCGCCTCCAGCGGTTCCTGCTTCGCCTCGGTGTGATGCACCGCTCGGGTCGCCGATGACCGCAGCGAAACCTCTCCTCCACGTGTGTTGAAGGACCAGGTGTGGCAATCTGAGCAGGAAAGTCTCTGCTTTGGCCAAACCAACATCAGCTATTCTAGGACTGCAGCTGGTAGCTTGCTGGTACTCTCGACCCCTGTGCTGGACACAAAGACTTAGGTGTGATGTTTAGACTGCTTTCCTTGCTTGGTCAAACCGTTTTCTCTCCAAACTCCTCTGCCAACTTAGCCTCCAAAAGTCATTTGTTAATTCCTGTCTTCGCAGCTGGTTAGAGCAGACTCAGAGTTCCATCTTTTATACTCCTGTTCAGTCTATAGAGTCTAGAGTCTGCCGCGAACAGAACTGAGGGATGGCCGGCCATGCGTGACCCTCAGACAGGACAAACCGTTCTGCGCGTTAAAGCCTCCAAGTGGCAGAAAACCATTTTACTCGAAGATCCTCATGCTTTTGCTTCCACTCAGCATTCTCTTCCCTCCTGCAGGCCCATGTACCACACCTTCCTCACCCCTTGCAAAGCTTCACATCTCTTCAGACTGTCTACTCAGATCCTCTCCACGCCGTCTTTAAAAGAACACCGGTGCCACACAGCGACGGTTGCACGACAGACCGGTGCCTGAAGGTTTCGGACTCGTGCAAGGCATCCTTGAGCTGCTCATAGCGTTGCAAGACATCCGCTTCTCGTTCCCTGCCGGAGCAAGTAGCGGACGAAGCTACGAACGTAACAAGGGCATCGCTACAGTAGTAACAAGGGCATTACTAGTAACAAGAAGCTACTAGCTGGAAGAACTCTGTTCACAGTGGTACGCTGCCCAGAGTTCCGCCCCAAAGAAGCGGGTGGCCCGGTGACTGCCGAAGCATGAATGACCCTGTGAGTGAACCTAGTGGAACCTGTTTGGACAATACCTGTGACGGAAGGCTTCGAAGTGATGGATTGATAGCCATGACATGCCAGCCTCGTAGATGCTTGCTCCTGCTCATGCTGCTCCTGAAGCTGCTTCAAGGCAGAAATGTGTTGCCGGAGCACCTTGTTCTCTTGCTGCGAGTGCCTCAGCGGGGCATAAAACAAGTTCCACAAAAGTCTGCAAACCTGAATCATGCAGACCATGATCTGCGCCGGCCATGAGGGCCATGGACCAGCTAGCCAGGCCCTTTGGTGTTTCTCTTGAAGTGGAGATCTCGAAGTATCGCTTGAAAGGGTCGTCTGCAGTCAGTCAACATCTTCCTCATCTCAATACACTCAGGTTGGCGGCCTCAACTCTCCTCGCTGCTGCTCGGCGTGCGTCTTCAGAAACTTGTAGGCGGCAAGTTTCTGCCGGAGAACCTTGTTCTCTTCCTGAGGGAGCCTTGGCAAATTGAGTAAGAGTCTTATAACCCCCAAACAAAAGAATAATCAGGAGCCGAAGCATTCCATGCACTGGATCTTGCACTTGGGCGGCGTGTTCCCACAATTCCAAAGTGTCACTGTCTGCTATCCATCCACTTCCAAGCCAGCGACTTGCATCCTTCCTCCTCACTCTGGGAGAACTCGTTCCTGTGCGCCACCCATCCGTTGATCCCAGATGCCGCCACACGACCCAACCGATGGTACCAAGGGCTCGCTGGGGATTTGAAAAACCCGCCTCTTGAGTGTTGAGTCAAGTTTGAAAGCACATCGAGAGGTTCTCACATCCAGTGCTATAGATCTCTTTTGACACTTGGAAAAAGTGGATACACAGGGGCTGATGGCTGGGCTCTGACGGAAGCCAAAGGTCACCTCTTTGTCTCTTTGTAGGTTGGCTTTCCGCTTTAAAAAAGCTTGGCATTTAATCTATCTCTCCTCTCTCCTCTCTCTCTCCTCTCTCTCTCTCTCTCTCCTGAAGGGACCCACACTAAATGGCCTTGGTTCATGATGAAATACAAATGATTCTCCTTCAAAAACGTCCCGTCCTCGAGAGCTGATTTTCGATCCGGTCCAGCAACTTGTTCAGCTCGGCTTTCTCCTGCTTCGACACAGGATTCCAACCAATTAAACAAGAATGTGTGAAAAATTGCATGGATTCCAACCAAGACCTAGAATGAGCTAGACACCTCTTCAATCACTGAAGCTTGGAAGGCTACCCGGCTACCCTTGATCTTCTAAAGACCTCTGCCAGCTCTTCCCTTCTCCCTGTCCTGGGAAGCCAGCAGCTCGCAAGACCTGCACGCACGTCCAGGTCAAAACTCAAGCATGTCAGAATATCAATGCCAGGCATGTGCGCGTAGGTGGCTGGCTACTGACCCACATTTGCATCCTTAGCAGGCGCTCTGTAGATGTAATTTTCTGTTAATACATACTGGAATGACCCCATAATCCAAGAGCCTGTGTGGACGTCTGCCCCAGGATCACCGTGGATGGAGCCACTTACTTCTCCAATTTGGTTTGCACACCCTGGGAAGAATCCATTCCATTGAAGGCTCAACAATTTCTGATCGTTGTCTTGGTCGAAAGTCCGCCCCTCAAACAGTCGACCACCTCCCCCCCAAACCGAGCCACGCACCGTACTTCACCGCAGTTCCGCGCCTTAGCCCCAGGATGGCCTCTTCCAGGTGCATGAGGTCAACACATTGCCTCGCCGGCGAAGGAGCCACCGCGAGCCCATGTCGTTGTTCACGACATGCGACACGCGGCAGCCAATCGAGGCAGCCGTCGTGAACGACGCCTCGACCCGAAGACGCCTTTTGAACTGGCCACACTGCAGTCATTTGTACAATGAGATCGAACGGAGAATCCCCAATGAGATCGAAAAGCGACTTCAACTTCTATCAATCTGATTGGTTTCGACATGGGCAGAAGTTGCAACCTACTTGCAAGCTCACATTCAGCGCCACAGTCCTCCCTACATCTGCCTTGGCCATTCCGCAAAAAAAACATCTCTCGGCAGCAGGTGCTTGCACGAAAGTGCATGGGGGGGGCAAGAGCCGTACAAGGCCTACAGTAGAATCCGCGCAAATCACACAGTGCGTTCAGCGATCGCCATACTTGCTCAATTGCAATCGAACTCCTTCGCAGCCCCTTGGCGAAAGCGCTGGTCGAACTGCTTCTCTTTCAACTGTTTCTTCCTTCCAAACAGCTTCCCCCAAACCACAACCGCAAACACACCATGCAACTGCCTGAAGATGTTCCTCCACAAGCCCTTCTCTTGGGTCGACAAGCTGCCGATCAAGCGATCGGTTTCTCCAACGATCTGATCTGACTTCAGGGCCATCCACACTTGCTTTGGGCGCGCGAGGGAGACAACAAACAGGTTCTCGACATTGCTACTCACGGTCTCCATCTCTGGCCTCCACGTTTCCCCGGTGTTTTTCCATGTTTTCCCCGTTCCAGAAGAGTACAAGTTCACCATAGTTCACCTTCTCCTCGCATCATCGCACCCGCAGATTTCTGCAAGACTCAAGGATTTCTCGTTAAGGCGGCCTTCCCGTCAAGCTGATGGTCGTCGACCTTCAACATGTCCAAAACGGAGAACCATCAGATGCGTATGCATATGTCCATACAGAGTCATACAGATCGCAAGATCAGTTCGTCCAAAGCTTGACCAACTGAACAGTTTCCTTTGTTGCACCTGGACTCACATTGAGTGACTCCTCGGCGGTGTCGCCCCTCCAGCTGAGCTCGGGTGAGGCACGAATCCCAGGTCAGCAGGCGTCTGGAACTCAATGAACCAGCATCAAATCCTGGGGCATTTGGCGCTCACCACCATCCAAGCTGTTGCTGCTCTCCAACAGCTGCAAGGCCATTTGGGCCGCGTCCTGTACGTGTGGGCGGGCGAGCCGCGAGAGTAGTGACCTCCAGCAGGGGGTTGTGGATCCGATGGTCAAAATGGACACTTTCTTATTATTCCAGACTGATGGCTGAATGATCCCCTGTTCTCACGTCTCATCCACCAAAATGCCACACCGAATTGGATGATGATTCACGGCAAAGAACGGCAGATGTTTCCCACTCTTGAATTCCACACTTTTCAAAAATGGGACCCTCTTCAGCCAAGAGCTCTTATCGACTTCTCACACTCTTATCCATGTAATCCCATCTCCCCATGTTCGGCTCCTCTGTCAAGCCCTCCTGCAAGCAACAGACCCCCAACTGGGTCTTCACCAAGAAGCCTGCGAGACCGGCAGCTTCGATGCTCCGATGATGTGACACACTGTCCTCGAAGATCACCAGGGAGCTCATCGCACGCTTCCTTGGTTACAGATGGCGGATGGCTTTTCTGATGTTGTGAGCTTGGAATTACACAGGTGTGTTGCTCACAAGAAGAAGAATATTGATATATGATATATGATATACCTGAGAAGGGAGGGGACGAAAGCCAGCCTCTGGCTTAGGGGGTTGGAAGCGTCTTGCCTTCTGCCAGGCACTTGACCGCAGGCCCAGGCAAAGACTTGGCGTGCAAGAGGAAGTGATGGGGCAACATCGGGCAAAGATTAATTTCATGGGGTGAAGTTGACATCACAGCCACACTGATAGGGGGTAGAAATTGAAAGTAGAAGACATCGGTTTGGGGGGGTGCCCTTTTACGTCCCGGATCCCTCGTTCTGAGTTGCCCCACGCCATTCAAGGCACAAGCAAGGACCTGTGACCAGTCCTTAGGGTAGGCACGGGTGACCAGCCCTATGGGAGCGACGTAATCCGGGGGCGCGCGCGCGCCTCTGTCCCTCGTTCTACTCTCTCCTCTCCTCTCTCCTTTTCCCTCTCTCCTCTCCTCTCTCCTCTCCTCTCTCCTCTCTCCTCTCCTCTCTCCTCTCCTCTCTCCTCTCTCCTCGCTCCTCTCCTCTCCTCTCTCCTCTCCTCTCTCCTCTCCTCTCTCCTCTCTCCTCGCTCCTCTCCTCTCTCCTCTCTCCTCTCTCCTCTCCTCTCCCCTCCTCTCTCCTCTCGCGCGCGCGCCTCTGTCCCTCGTTCTGAGTTGTCCCGAGGCCATTGCACAGCACAAGCAAGGACCTGTGACCAGTCCTAAGAGTAGGCACGGGTGACCAGCCCTATGGGAGCGACGCTTCCTCAAAACCTATCGTTTTTTCAGCGTTTTAACTTGAATTGTTCCTATTCCTCTTCTGAGAGGCATGAATGCACTGTCAATAGCAAGGAAATA